ATCTGCCTGCCTCCTTCCTCAGTCCTCAGCAGTTTGGGACCAGTTCTCCTACACTGGGACTGGGTTGTTCTGGAACACAGGGTCAGTCCGAGGTAGGGCCCAGCACCTTTTGTCCAGTGAAGGAGAGAGGGTTGTCCCCATGCTGGGCTGGTCTTCACACTGGGTGGTACATCACAAGCACACTGGGCATGCATGTGACAGGAGTTAGGTCTACTCACCTTTGCCTCATCAAGGGGATGTTGATACAGTTGGCAGCAGCCACAGCTGCAAAGGGCACAAATCTGCCAACCAAGGGAGGTAGGTGCTGGGGGAGGAAAGGCGTCTTTTAGTGGCCCATGGAGTGGGAAGGGACTCTTGGGGGGGAGATGGGAGCCTGTCGATCAGGAATGGATCTACAGGTAATGGGATCTAATAGTAATGGGGAAGAAGAAGGAGGGTAAAGGATGAATGGAGGGTCAATGGAGGGAGAGCCTTTACCTTGGTGAGGGATTTGAGTCCCAGAGCTGTGGCCACAGCCCCAGTGGTGGCACTCACATAGGCTGTTCCCAGCTGCCTGTGGATTAAAGAACCAATTGACAAGGGACAGAGGAAGAGTCCAGCGTGTGGCTCTTACCTTTAGGAAGATGCCAGATCCTCAGTGCATGAGGCTAGGAGGGTAGGCTCATTGCAGAGAAACCCTCCCCCCAGCTCCAGTGTAAACTTGCCTGGAAACCCTACTCCGTCCCTTCAAATGGGAGTAGGTCCCCAAAAACATACACAAGAGGGCCTCACCCTCAGGCAGGGAGAGTGAGGAAAGGCTAGGCTGGGAGGAGAGCTGAGCCACTGCCTGCAGGGCCCACAGGGATCAGGAGTGACAAGGAAAGCACAGAGTGTGGGCTGGGAAAAGGCACCACAGTTTTTCCCAGGGACCGGCACTCACTGCACAGTGATGGGAGCATCGCCGCTGCGGTTGGAATAGTTAACAACAGCATTGAAGGACTGGTTCACCCACTGCCAGAACACCACAGTTGGGGTCTTCCTGAGGGAACAAAATCAGTTTTATTTCTCCCTCTACATGTCTCTCATCTTTGAACCCCTATAGTTAAATCCCAACGGTTACTCACAAACCCTCAGGAGAATCCAGTTGATGACCCTAGAACCTGCTCTGATAACCCTTATATGCCCCCCTCATACAAGTAGACCCACTGACTCTGGGGTGAGGGACCCCCAAGGCTGCGTTCTGAGGAATGGGAGGGATTCTAATACAAGCTTCTGCCCACCCACTATTCTCTACCCCAATTGGCCCAAAGAGGAGACACCTAGCTATACTCTAGCTTGGATCACTCAGGAAGGAAACATGGGATAAGACCTGCCTGTAGAATGTAAGCATGCAGCCAGTGATCATCATGTTCATGGGCACCTGGGCTGACATGCGGCCAATCAGGACCACCTTCTCCCCTGTGTCTGGATGGAAGGCAGAGTCGTACACATACTTGGCCCTCCACAGCTGGTCCTCGGTGAGCCCTGGGGTCACTACCCCAGCCCTGCAGAAGATGACAAGGAACCAAATTGTTCTAAGAGGACAATCTAAGGTTCTGTTTACCCTGCTCAGAAAACTCTGGGCAGAGGACTAGGAACTTTGGCCCCCCATCTCTGGATAAAAGAGTTCCTTAACTCTTTGAGAGAATCAAAGGGTCCCAGAAGTGGAGGTTCCTAGTTCAATTTCCCTTCTAGCCACAAATTTTCTGTTAAGTCATAGATAGTGGTGGGGTGTGTGTGTGTGTGTGTGTGTGTGTGTGTGTGTGTGTGTGTGTATGTGTATGCGCATGCATGCTGGGGATTGAACCCAGGGCTGTGTGCATGCAAGGCAAGCACTTTACCAATTGTGCAATATCCCCAACCCTGATGGTGGTGTGACAAGTCAAAAATGGCTGGGCCAGGCACAGTGGCACACGCCTATAATTCCAGTGGCTTGGGAAACTGAGAAAGGAGGATCATGTGTTCAAAGCCAGCTTCAGCAAAAGTGAGGTGCTGAGCAACTCAGTGAGACCCTGTCTCTAAATAAAATACAAAATAGGATTGGGGATTGGACTCAGTGATTGAGTGCCCCTGAGTTCAATCCCCAATACCAAAAAAAAAAAAAAAAAAAGGTGGGAAGCATCACAAGAACTTTTGATTCTGAAGACAAAAGGGATGCCTTCCTACCTCCTTGGTAGGAGTAGACCAACAGTAGACCAACAGTGGAAAAAGTTCCTATGGTGGTTTGTGAAACATAGAGCAGCCTTCCACTCATAAATATCAATGTTACTTCCTCAACCCAAATACCCAAAAGTTCTTTAGATTAAAGCCCTGTGCCATGGAGAGGTGCCAGCAAATGGGGTCAGGGAGTGAGGAGGTTGTGGAATGAGACTTGTAAGTTTAGGAAGGCAGGTACAAAATGTACTAGATTAATGACAGTGAATGACATCCTAAGACACAGTGTCAGATGAGGGTCACCTGTAGTTTTGCACAATGTTCCGAGAAGCTTCCAGCTGAGCCCCAGACAACAGCAGATTTCGAGGATCAGTAACAGTGAAGAAGTGCCGGGCTCTGCCCAGGAAAGTGCTCTGGTCCCAGCGAGGTTCCTGGATGTTGATATCTAAGGGCAATTCACCCATTTTCTGCAAGGCAGGGACAAGGGTCAGAGGGCTTCAAGGAGGGAGTCCAACAGCTTCACCTGGGGGAAGCTTTGATGGCCCTGCCCTAGTTTCTGAGCCTATCACCTGTCTCTTCAAGAGCTCAAGGTGACTCCAGATAGGTAAGCAATGGTAGAGGAGGAGTTGTTTCCTAGGCAATGTCCTAGCCAGGGACCTACAAGCACTGGAAGAGGGGGAGGGGAAGAGAAGAACTAGAAAATAGGTTACCCTGGACTCTGGCCTGGTGCAGATTTTCATGAGTAAAGATTTACATGTGTGTGATTGATGCATGAGCAACAACTAATCCTGTGCAGCTACTTATGAGCTCTGCTTGCACAGAAAGGTGTAATATGTACATGACACAACCATGCCCATGTCAGCTTCAGGCCCCAGCTGCTCTGATACGTAGATATAAACCCCCTTGCCTATTTGAGAAGATGGCAAAAGACATCCTATGTTCCAGCCCCTGATTGGAGGACAACCAGAGCTCTTTGGGCTTATCCCAGATCTCAAACAGGACACTCTGTAAGCCATATGCATTCATGTGGGCATGCACATGTCCTATGTTCAAACCCATTTTCCCCAAGCCGCACTGGGTGACCCAAAGCTCTTCCTGTTCCCTGGCAAGGCAGGACTGCCACAAACACCCATCTGCTTCTCTCTGAACCAACTACCTCCAGAAAGAGCAGGATTCAGTGGATACCCCGCTACCCAGCAGAGAGGAAAGCCGGGAGCAGCCATCTGGCCGTGCTAGGCAAAATCCTGCAGAATGACTAATCCCCTCCAACCCTACTTCCTCCCTAAGGCAGGCACACCCAACTCTCTCACTCTCACATACCCACACACAAAGATATGCACGCCCGACCCAGACATACAAACAGGGTGGACACAATACACCAACCATAAAGACCGTTACACACAGAGAGAGCTCACATCCATCAGTTGCAGATGCTAAATGACACTCCCACACACACCCCCACCCCGCGCCAGCCTCCCCTTGTACACCATAGACCTCCACAGAGGCCAAGATACTGAATCCCCAGGATAAAGAGCACGTTTCAAGGCAAGCATCCTTCTCCAACCCCCACCCCCTATCCTCCACTCCCCTAACTCCCATTCCCTTCCTGGACAGGGAGCACTCACGCTTTCCGGGATTGCCTGCCTCTGCAGATCTCAGACCCGCCTTCCTTTCCGCGCGACTGTGGCCCTCCCAGTCATCAAGCCGGACGTCACGCATGACGCTGAGCAGCAGGGAGGGAAGGTGGCTCCCTCTGGCTTGTTCGCTTAGCCAGCCTCAAACCTGGAAGGCCCTGGGGGCGGTAGATGTCATTTGGGGATACGCCTGCAGCCCGAGCCGCCAGGACTAGGTCCCGTGAGGCCTCCCAGAACGAGTCTTACCGCAGAGATCTGTTCTGGCCCCACTCCTCATCCAAAGAAAGGAAGGGAGGAGCTGCACACTGCCCGCTTCGCTTCTCTTGCAATGCCCTGGCGGGCCTCCAGAGGCACCCTGTCTCTGCTGCAGGGGTATAGGTGCACTTGGCGCAGGTGCGTGGTGTGAAGGGGCGGTCCTCTGATGCAGAGCCCGCCCGGAGGGACTCAGGTTACTGATTGTTTACTTGAGGGCTGTCTGTGATGGCCCCTGCTTCCTGGGCCCCCTGGGCTCCTACCCAGGTACCCATAAGCTCCTCTGTCAGCGCCTCAGTGTTCAGCATCCCTTCGCAGCAGAGTTCCTGTCGTGCCGCCCTCTTAGGCTCTCCCTCTCAAACCCCTTACTCCACTGTTTCCCCAGTATCTTTATACCTCCAACCCTCAGCCCTGCACCACTGATCTTAGCCCCAGATGTGAATGGCCAGAAGGCTAACCTCCATCTGCATCTGAGGAAAAACATCAGAAGTATTATTCCTTCCCCTAGTGTTCTGGGACAATTGCCCTGCCCTGCGACCTTTCCAGAACAGGGTGGCCTGGCAGACACCTTCTGACATAGAAGGAGGCAGGTGACAAAGGCAGCCCTCATGCGCGCGCGCGCGCACACACACACACACACACACACACACACACACAGCTTACCCAGTCACCACACAGCACACCTGTAAATGCCCAGGCGCCACTCGGCGCTGTAGCTCATCGCGGGCTCACACCCTGCTCTTTTCTGGTGAATCCCCCCCATGGAGGCCTCAGGAGTGACCACGAAGGGGTGGCATTTCCAAGAGCCCGGGACAGCGTGGCCCGGAGAAGACAAGGTTCCAGAAGGATGGGACGAGCCGAGAGTCAAGCCCTAGGTTCGCGTAACGGGTTGGGGCAGAGCCCTGTGGCCCCAGGACCAGGTGACCAGCGGCAGACCCCCGGCGACCAAGGGAGGTGCTGGGAGAGAATAACTGGTGGCCCCACTAGCCAATGGGAGCCCAGAGCTTCACAGACCAGCCCTATTCCCGCAGCCCGCCGGGCGTGGGCGGGGTCGCTGGCTGCTGTACTGGCTGGCACCTGAGGGTGCACAAAACCCGCTGCGATCACACACCGGAGCAGGTGAGGGGGCCAAGTCAGAGAAATGGGGCCCAGGAGGGCTAGGCCTGGAGTAGGGGTTGTGTTCTGGGTGCCAGATCTGCTCTGGGAGACTTGGCCCTGGGTTTTTCGCTGGGTATTGTGAGGCTCTGACCGGCAGATTCTCCGCCCAAGCGTGGGAAGGAGTCACGCAGCAGTTTTGAACCCTGAGCAGCTGCCTGCAGCCAGGGGATTTCTTGGGCCTGGGCCGCAGCTGTCCCAGGTCCTGAAGCCCTACGCTGAAGGTTGGCCCCTATCCGCATACACAGAAGAGGTATGGCAATGAATTGTCCTGACCCTTCATTTTTCCCACATTGCTGGAAGGCCAGGGGCTGAATAATCCCATATCCACTCTCTCAACCTCTACTGAGGACTGGGGATGGGGTAAATGACTCAGCTGAGAGCAGAAATGAGGAGAGCTCCCCATACACCTTTTATATAAATGGCTCCAAAGGTCCAAAATGGTGCCTGGCCCTGGTCAACCCCTGGCCCAGGGTGGGAGAGGTGGGGGGCTGAGGGTCTAAGATATGGGAGAGCAGGATGCTCAAACCAGGGGGAGAAGTGGCAGTTCTGGGGACAGTAGGGCAATGTTCACACCCCCTCACCCAATCTATGCTCTCCCTGTCCAGGTCTGGAGCCTACACATCTGAGAAGTTAGGGTTTCCACCTTTCTGAGACCTCACCCTGCACGGAAGGCTCATGGAGCTCAGAGCACTGGGAGCTGGCCTCTGGAGGGTTGGCAGATTCCTTCTGGACCTATAGGGTGCCACTCCAGTCCAGCCACCATGGCACATGGCTTCACAGTGGGCTTCGACCCACCGGGTCTAGGAGAAGTCAGCTCTAGCTCTCTGAGCTCCCTCTCCTCCAGAGGCCACCTGGGCAGCGACTTCGGCTCCACCGCAACGCGATACCTGTTGCGGAAGCAGCAGCGACTGCTGAATGGGCCCCCCCGTGGAATCCGAGCCTCATCACCCATGGGCCGTGTCATTCTCATCAACTCCCCCATCGAAGGTGGGTGTGGGGCCCAGTCACTAGCTTGGGCTGGGGAAGGCTGGGATAGAGGACAGCAGGAACTAAGTAGGAGGTGGTAAAGCCAATGATTGGGGGGAACTCAAGAGATAGGAGTCTTAGGGAAGTGAGGGCTCTGGGAACACACATCTTCCTTGCTTACCCTTGCCTCTCCTCCAGGCCAAGATTTTAGGGCTCTAAGATTGTAGACCAGAGTTAGAAGCTAGGGATAGGACAGCAGGGAAAGCTGTGTGTATAGTATGTTAGCCCTGGAGTGAGCAAGATTAAGTGTTGAACAGGCCCATTCCTCCCATGAACTCTGCTTTTCTCCAGATCCATTTATGTGTGCTTTGTGGGATGGAGCAGGATAGAAAAGGACATCTTCCAGCAACCAGCCAATTGTATGACCAGCTCTGTGCCTAACTATGAGGAGTCAGTGCCCAGGTTTCAGGGATCAAAGCAAGGGCCTGAAGGTAGAGCAGCAAATGTTCAGTCAGAAGAGAAGAGAGAAGAGCTCATTGAGGGAAGCCTAGGTCTGGGCCCTCAAAGAGGGTATGACCTAAGCTGGTGTAGTTACCTGATGCTGCAGTTATTGTACACCAATTCTATACCTGCCCTGATTAGGTCCTGCAGAGGACCTAGAGAAATGAGCCTCACCTCCAGAAACATACATTGTAGCAGGACTTAGAGACACAGCAACAAAAACAGCTGGTTTTGGGGTTCAGCTATCCCCCACAGAGGTTAGAGTGAAAAGCATGGAGCATGTGAGGCAGGCACCTAGGAGATAGCCTGGTTGCAGGGACAGATGTGAGGCGGCAAAGATCTGGTGAACAAGACAGCACCCTGACTGCCAGGCAGGGAGCAGGGCCCTCTGGGCCTGGGCTTTCTGTGGGCAGGACCAGATAAATATCTCCAGCTCCTCTCCTCTTTCTTAGCCAGCAGCACTCCCCCGACTGGATCTCAGATTGGACTTTTCAGGCCTTGCTCCTCCCCTCTGACCCAGCTGGGTGTCTCTGTCCCTGTCCCCAGAACATTCATGCCATCACCTACCACAGTGTGCCTCACCTTTAGGTGAGCAGCAGGGCATTGCTGAGGGTCACCATTGTCAGTCTGGTCATGTAGCAGAAGTCCTCAGAGGAGCTAGGAGGTGTGTGTGGAAGGGAGTGGGGAGGCACTGCCCTCATGGGTTTCCCTCTGCTGAAAGAACTATGTAGCCAGCAGGTGGCAAAAGCCTGAAATCCCAGCTATTCCAGAGGTTGAGGCAGGAGGATCACAAGAGTCCAGTCTGGTGACTTAGTTTATATTTTGAGACCCTGTCTCAAAGTAGCTCAGTGGTACAGCCTTACCTAGCATGCTTGACGCCCTGGGTTCAATGCCCAGCACCAAAACAAAACAACAACAACAACAACAACAAAAAACCCAAAGACAAATCACTTGGCCTTACTCCTGAGTTTCTGGTTCTAGATCTGTGGTGAATCCCAAGAATTCACTTTTTTTTTTTTTAACATCTTTACTGGTGATGTTGATGCTGCTCGTCTCAGGAACTACTGTGACAGGGACTAACTGGCAAGAGGGCCAGAAGTCCAGGAAGGCTGCAGAGAGGGAATGAGGAAAGGAACTGGCCTATGCAGGTCAAAGCAAAGGTGTTGCAGGCAAAGGGGACAAAGGGAAAGGGTTGGTTTCCAAGAGTAACAGGAAGGAGGTCAGTGTGACCAAAGCCCAGGGAGGGAGGGGAGGGAAGTGGGCAGAGGAAGCCTGTGGGTGGCCTCACTGAGTCCAGGGAGGAGTTGGAGTTCCTCTAGAAGCTGGCAAATGGGCAGGAGTTGACATTTTTCATCAGGGGAGAGGCATGCCTTGTTATAAACACAGACTGGCCATGAAGAAGATGGAGAGGGCAAGAGCAGAAGGGGGCATATGGGCAACTGCTATAGAGCTCCTGGAGGATGGGTGGGTGGCCAGGGCCAGGGCAGTGGAGGGAGAGAAGGTCTCATCCTTAGAGGACTCAGGCTTCTGAGCTCAAACCTCAGAATAGGTATCACCTTGGCGCAGGGCCCTAGCCCGCCCCCCCAGGAGGAACTGAGGAGAACGAGGGCTGGGGCTGGGAGAAAAAGACTCCTGGGCTGAGGCTGAAGTGTCCTGTGACTACAGTCTGCTGGGAAACCCCACAAGCTCCCAAGTCTCTGTCCTGCACTGTCCCTCCTCAGGCTGCCCTTAGAGACTTCTGTCTGAGCTGGCCATGCACTGTAACCTGATTTCAGCTAGATCAAATTGAAGTGTGTGTGTGTGTGTGTGTGTGTGTGTGTGTGTGTGATTTCTCCCTCTCAAATACCTCTAGGGTAAGCCTTTCTGAGAAGAAATCTCAGAAAGGGACCCAACTCATCTGGGACCCATCTTATCCTTAAGTTTTCTTGCTTTTCTCTTCCCGGAAGTTCTCCTCAAGGCCTGCCTCTGAGCCTGGCTCACTCCATCCCCTCCTCAGTGTCTCCTTTTCCTTCCATCCATTCAAATCCCATCCATCATTCTTCTAAGAATCCTTTCCTGATAACTTGGGACCCAGGACACTCCCGTACCTTCGGACTTACCCCAGCACTGGATGGAGAAGTTAGCTCTGGGCACACCATGCAGCATGGTGATGTTTGGGGTTTCTTTTCCCAGGTAGCCAGGTAGCCCCTGCATGCTTACTCCCAGAATCACAGAGTCTAAGAGATGGAGGCCTCAACACTCTTTCCTAAACATCCCAGTTAGGGATTTACCAGGTCTGAGTTTGCATGCTGCTCACTAGCTGTCCCAGGAAACCCATTCCATTTCTGGCAGCTGCATATTTCAGAAAGTTTTTCCTTACAAATCATGCCTCCGTCTAACTCCACCACATGGGCTTGATTCTGCCCTCTGGGTTCCACTGACAAAAATATCTAATGCCTTCCAGAGCCTCGCTCTACAGCTATTTGAAATTAGAGCTAATCTACCATTTCTGTTGCAAGCAGAAGAGGCCAGGCTCCCTTTGCTGTGTCCCAAAGAATGGAATTTGAATCTTCTTTGCCATCTTTCTGGGCCTCTGAGTAGCAGCCGTTTTAGAAATATGGGCACAGAACGCTCAGTAAACATTACACACACACACACACACACACACGCACACACACACACACACACACACACACACACAGCCAAGGAGCAGGACTCCTGTCCTGATATCCTCACCTGCTTCCACACACTCCATGGCCCAGGGTCAAAATCACCCTAAAGGGAACTTGAAAATTGATTCCCTCCCCATTTAGGGTCCTCAGTACTATGTGGCTCTGACCAGTAATCCAGCTTTTGCAAGCCCCAATTTTGGGAACCTAGGGGCCCTCTGTGCCCAGAATGAACATGGGGATCATGCCTGTGTCCCCATTCCTGCAGCCAACAGTGATGAAAGTGACATCATCCACGCAGTCCGGGTGGAGAAGAGCCCAGCAGGGAGGCTGGGTTTCAGCGTGCGGGGAGGCTCTGAGCATGGCCTGGGCATCTTTGTCAGCAAAGTAGAGGAGGGGAGCAGTGCAGGTGAGTGATCCTGGGGGGAAATTGCTGGTTTAGGATGTTACCCCCATCTCAGGGGAGGCAGGGGATGCTGTGGGCAGCAAGAGGAAAAATCCTCAGCTCTGGAAGGCTGATCTCATGGAAGATGGAGCCCACCATTGGGCAGAGTGGATCAAGGGACAGAGATTCCTTAACAGGCAATACTCAGAGCCTACTCTGAGATCTGCACCTTGAGGGAGGAAGCTTGGTACCCCAGGGAGCTCTGTCCAGTGGGGAGGTCAGCCTCCTCCCCACTCTCTGGCGCAGAGCGGGCTGGCCTATGTGTGGGGGACAAGATCACAGAGGTGAATGGACTGAGCCTGGAGAGCACCACCATGGGCAGCGCAGTGAAGGTGCTGACGGGCAGCAGCCGCCTGCACATGATGGTACGGCGCATGGGCCGGGTGCCAGGCATCAAATTCTCTAAGGAGAAAACCACGTGGTGAGCAGCCCCAGCCCTCCCATCCCCCAACCACCCCTGAACAGGAGAAGCCAGGAAATAAAATGGGCCTGAGTCTCCCTCCTTGCTATACTTCAATGGCACTAGCTGTCCAACACCAGGGCCCTCTTCCCTCATTGCTGCTGCTGTGAAACTAGGGCACAGCATCAGCACCTCCCTTATGGGGGCATTATAAGGAGTAGAAATGGGGCCCTAGGGCTGGGGGTGGTTCAGTATACAGTGCATGCTCCCTGTGCCTCAGGCCCTGGGTTCCATCTCCAGCACCGAAAGAAAAAAAAAAGATTTTTAAAAAATGGGGCACTGCATATTGCAGCTGTTCCATAAAAATGTGAGTAGGATGATTTCCCAGATTGAATACAACTTATGTCCCACTGAGGATCCTAGGCCTGGGATGTCCCCTGGAGGCAACCTCCCTTTCCCATGCAGCTACAAGACTACTGGGAGGGGAGATGGGTGGTGGTGGCTGGGGACCCCACCTGAGGGTCCCTTGCTGCTGTTCCAGGGTGGATGTGGTGAACCGGCGGCTGGTGGTGGAGAAGTGCAGTTCCACTCCATCCAACAGCAGCTCGGAGGATGGCGCGCGGCGCATTGTCCACCTGTACACGACCTCTGATGACTTCTGCTTGGGCTTCAACATCCGAGGGGGCAAGGAGTTTGGCCTGGGCATCTATGTGTCCAAGTAAGGGCAGGGACAGGGTGGAAATGGAGTATCTAGAGCTTGGGCTGGGAATGGGGCTGGGACTGGGGCCTGGGGATGACTAGCAAGTGAGGCCTGGCCAACTACAAGTCCAAATGAGGGCCCAGGTCAGGGGTGGACCTGATAAGGGATGTGGTCATCAGGAGGGGGGTCAAGGAGCATGACTAGGCCATTCCCATATCCAAGTGAAAGGGAACTAAATAGGGGTGAGGGAGACAGGCCAGAGTCTTATCAACTGACACCTGTCTGACCCAGAGTGGACCATGGTGGGCTAGCAGAGGAGAATGGCATCAAGGTGGGGGACCAAGTCTTGGCGGCCAACGGTGTCAGATTCGACGACATCAGCCACAGCCAAGCCGTGGAGGTGCTGAAAGGCCAAACACACATCATGTTGACCATCAAGGTGGGCAGGACTCTGGGAGTCATGGAGAGGCCAGACTAGAAGAAGTATTTCCCAGACCACCCTAGTTCTTTATTGAGCTCCTTGGTCTCCCCTATGTGACATTTCCATAGCCAAGTGGAAAGGAGTTCGAATTCCCCTTTTGCAAAAGAAGAAACTGAGGTTCAGAGAGGCATTGCAACTGAGGTTCAGAGAGGCCAGTGATTCTGCTGCTCAGTAGCCTAACCTGGCTTCAGTCCTCTCCCCAGATTCCTGAGGCAGCACCCTTTCTTCTGAATGATGGAGACCTAGGGTTGAAGGAATAAATGTCCTGCCCACAAGGGTGGAGTGATATCTGTGGCTTTGGGCAAAGACCTGGTGGTGGGCACCCTTAGGCAACAGGGCAAGGAGCCCTAGGCTAGGGCCAGAGATCAGATTTCAGGGGAGGCAGCTGTATTCATTATTCATGTAGGTCTCACGCTTGCCTGAGGATCAGGTCCTTCTCACTCCAGCTTCTGCAGGAGGTGATGCCTCACTCTTCCTTGGTGCCAACTGGTGGGCCCTGCTCTGCCTTCTCCTTCGTCAGCAGGCCTTTGCCCATCTCACCATTTAATGCCTCCTCCACCCCCACTATTTCCCACCTCTCCCGCATCCCATTTCTCCCTTTCCTTCCTCAAATTATCCCAGACCCCCTCCTCACTCCTGCTCTGCCTCTTATTCATTCATTCAACAATATTTTTGAGGCCTGGGGGTGTACCTCAGTGGTAGAGTTTTTGCCCAGCAGGCTTGAGGCCCTGGGTGCAATTTCCAACTCCATATAAACAAAACAAAACTACAATATTTTGAGTACCTCCTCTGTGCTGGATGCTATGCCAGGTACTGAGGCTGCATCAATGACAGGACAGACAAGGTCTCTGCTCCTGGGGGAAAAAGGACAAACCAGATACTTGTAGACTGTGACAAATGCCACCAGGAAATTAACAGAGAGGTGAAATGGAGTAATTTGGGAAGATCCTTATAGCCAGGGGACATCAGGGCAGGTCTCTCTGAGGAAGTGACAAAGAGCAAGAATGAGCTAGCCACATAATGAGCTGAAGGAAGAGAAAACAGGCAGAAGGGAGGGCAGGTGCAGAGATCCTGTGGTATAAAGGAACTTGGCATGATTAGAAATAAAGTGGCCAATGTTGCTAGAGCACAGTGGATTCAGAAGGGAGAAACGGAAAGTAAGGTTTACTCCTGTCCTATTTCTTACCCTCCCTTCTCACCTGTTCCTCCTATACCCACCATGACCTCCCCAGGAGACAGGCCGGTACCCTGCCTACAAGGAGATGGTTTCTGAGTACTGTTGGCTGGACCGATGTAAGTGGCTTAAGTCCTCAAATTTGGAGGGAAAGGGGCTAAGACCCAAGAGTGGGGCCAAGGTCTCTGAAAAAAGAAAGGACAGGGACCAAGATCTACTCAAGACCCTCACATAACCCAGAGCGGCTTCTAGGACCCCCCTGATGTCTTGCAGATTCAATTTCAGGTTCTTCTAGGGCCTTGAGGCCCAGAGAGTGAACAGAGAAGTGCTCTGTCTGAGGTTTCTCATAAGACAGAGGCACGATTGCGTAGCAGCTTGTGGCTTTAACCTCAGTGGCTTCCTGGCCTTCGTTCCTCTACCCGCAAGCCAAGCCCCGGGGTGATCTGCAAGCCTCACAAGGTGCTGAGGCAAACCCGTCATATGCCCAGGTGCTGCAGATGCCCCTGCCTTCCCCTCTCCCTGCAGTGAGCAATGGGGTGCTGCAGCAGCTGTCACCTGCCTCTGAGAGCAGCTCCAGTGTCTCCTCATATGCCTCCAGCGCCCCCTATAGCTCAGGCTCCCTGCCCTCGGACCGCATGGATGTCTGCCTGGGGCCTGATGACCTGGGCAGCCAAGGACCAGGTTGGGGGCGGGCGGACACAGCCATGCAGACGGAGCCTGATGTGGGGGGCCGTGTGGAGACTTGGTGTAGCGTGCGGCCCACAGTCATCCTCAGAGACACAGCCATCCGTTCTGAAGGACCCCCTCCTGCCCGCCGCCTTGACTCCGCCCTCTCAGAGTCCCCCAAGACTGCTTTGCTGCTGGCCCTTAGCCGACCCCGGCCCCCCATCACACGTTCCCAGAGCCACCTGACCCTATGGGGTACGTGGGGAATGGGAGGCTACTGCTTTCTCTATAGTCCCTGGTCCAAAACTGCTCATTCTGTCCCAAGCCCCAGACCTCTTTTTACTCTGGGCTCCATTTTAAGCCAGACCTGGGCCGCAAACCCATTCTTAGTCCTAACCCCAACTTTGATCCCCAAATCCGCCCTCACCCCTGTCCTTTCAATCTCAAGTGCCCAGGCCTGTTCTCCCCAGCCCCAGCTTCCTTACACGGCTGCACTTGTGTGATTCTGGGAGAGGTGGAAACTGGAGGAGGAACCCCCCACACCCTTCCCCACCCTGCACGAGTGAGATCCTGTCTGCCACCCCCACTCTCCCTTTTCTCTGCCCCTTCCCACACCCCTGCCCCTCGTCCTTCCCTTCTGCCCACCCTCCAGCCCCCCGGGTGCTCCCTCGTGTCTGCAGAGGAGAAGAAACAGCGGAAGAAGGAGAAGTCGGGGTCCCCTGGGGAGAAGGGGGCCCTGCAGCGCTCCAAGACTCTGATGAACCTCTTCTTCAAGGGAGGGCGGCAGGGGCGGCTTGCAGGGGATGGGCGCAGAGAGGCCTGGACACTGGACAGCAGGAGCCCAGCCAAAGCCCGCCCTCGCCTGGACCTGGAGAAAGGTAGGTGCTGGATTGACCGGGCAGGGAAGATGGGGCAAAGTCCGCCAGCTGGGGTCTCTGGCACACGGCCACACCACTCAGCCTGGAGAGCCTCGGTTTCCTCATAGATTCAATGGGAGTAATAATGCCTGTTTCTTTAGGAATAAGTGAGTTAGCAAATGTAAATCACATTGTCTGGCACACAGAAGGTGCTCGGAAAATGTGGTGGTCATTGTCATTACCTCCTTTGTACAGAAAGGGAAAGTGACAGAGTTGCAACACAGCAAGGAAGTAGAAGACCTTGGCTCAGAGCCCAGTGCCCTTGGTGGTGGCAGTAGTGGGGCTTGCTTTTGCCAGCCATCTAGCTTCTCAGGCCCAATCAAATTCTAGAATCATTGAGCAAGACCATTTCTAGATCAAGGCCCAGGAAGAGGGCCTGCCCAGGCTGTACTCACATGAGGCTTCCCACTCACGAGATGGCTGTCCTCCCTGGTAAAGCTCAGCTTCCAGGCCAAGAGTGGATGAGTTAAGACTCTTAGAGCTGCATTTGACAGAAATTCATCCAAACTAACTTTAAAAATCACCTCTTGGGGCTGTGGCCATGGCTCAGAGGTAGCACACTTACAAGGCAGGTGTCAGGCACTGGGTTCGAGTCTCAGTACCACATATAAAATAAATAAATAAAAGTCTATCAACAGCTAAAAAATATTTTTTTTTTTAAAAGTCACCTCTTGCTGGGCCAGTGACTCAGGAAGTTGAGGCAGGAGGATCACAAGTTTGAGGCCAGTCTCAGCTATTTAACAAGGACTTAAGGAGATTTTTTATTTAAAAAAGAGCTGAGGATGTTGCTCAGTGGTTAACCACCTCTGGGTTCAATGCCTGGTACCAAAAAAAAAAAAAAAAAAAAAAAAAAAAAAACCTCTTAGCTCACGTACTGACTTAGGCAGGTCTAAAAGTCTGAAAAATATCACTACATGTGTCCATTGGTCTTTTGGTTCCATTTTCTGGTGAGTTGATTTGCCATCATGCGGGCTTTACTGACTTGGTAAGATGGCCACTATTATTTTGCAATCCCCAGGGAAAAGGAGTTTCTCCTGAAGTAGTTCCAGCTAAGTCTCATGAACCTCTCTCATCCCCACTGGGGTCACAAACCATGCTAAACAAACCACTGTGATGTGGGAGACAAAGTGCTTTTGCTGGCCAGCCTGGGTCACATGCCTACCCCAGAGTACATGGGCTGAGAATGGGGACATTGGTCCCCAGGAGACCATTAGGGTGAGGTTTCCAGAAAAGGGGAGTGGATGTTGGGTAGGTGAAAACAATCAGAGAAAGAAGAGCTGGATGCTGCCCCAATCCGGATTTGGATGTTCTGGGGCATCAAGGTGACAGTCCCATAGGAGAGACAGCCCTCCAAATTAGGGCCAACCCCCTACTCCTTCACCTCTCTCTTCCCACAGCTCCCAGGACACTGCTGTCTCCTGGTTCTCAGCTCACCTCTCTGGTCACTCTTATCTATCTTTTGAAGGTTCCTCTTTTCTCCTCTGACCCTTGAAGGTAGGTACCCCAGGCTCTGTCCTTGGGGTTCTTTCCTCCTTCTTTCAAATGAATCTCCCTGAGCAGCGCTCACACTGACTCCTCTCTTGATCCAAAATCTTCATTGACTCTCTGTTGCCGAAGAGTGAAATCCCTAGCTGAGCATGACCTTCAAGCCCCTGGGGTCCAGTTCTCTTGTCTCCGGATCCAACCTACTTACATCCTGAATGCTTCATTTCAGTCAGTACTGAGTCCCTCCCAACCCTTATTTCCAGAGCCTGCCTGAGCCTTTTTCTTCTTCACAGCAGGGGGAGTTGGGCCTGTACAGAAGTTTGTCACCTGGAGATTGAGACGTGGTAATTCATGCATGTCTTTCCCAAGGCCTGGTCAACAGTAGGGTGGCAGATAAGGGTGCATGTTGGGGCCAGTTTGATGGCTTTGGACTAAAATCTGTTGGGCTCGAGCAAGAACCATCAGGCAAAGAGGTACATATTGGGGGCAGTTCAAAGAATTGGACTAAGCTTACCATTCCCAACTAGAAAAGATAGGGTTGCACACAGATAGGGGGATACATTTTGAGGGTTTGTGTGGAGTCTCCCAGAGAGATATCTGGGGTCAATGAGAAAGTCTGTGATAGGGCTTCCAATGAGGAACAGACTAGTATGACATTGTATTTTTAGGGGACACAGAGATCACTGGACCAAGACTCTATTAAGGAGTAGACTGGTATAGGGGTGGGTTTGGGGACTAAAGGCGGGTGTGGGTACTCCACTGGAGGGCAGGTTGCTGTGGAAGGCCATACTGGGGAATATATGGACTAGGCTAGAATTTCATGCTAGGTACTTGGGCCTCTCAGCTGGCCTGTTTCTTCAGGCCTGACCCCTGGTAGGGAAGCCCTGCCCACCCACCCTGACAGTTCCTGCTCCTCCATCACATCCTTTTGCCCCTCCCTGCCCTGCAGACCGGGAGAGGAGCCAGGCCCTGATCTCTGCCAGGTCCGGGAGCCCCTCTAGCCAGCTGCCCAATGAGCAGGTGCAGGCCTGGGAGAGCCGGCGGCCACTCATTCAGGACCTGGCCCGGCGGCTGCTGACAGATGATGAGGTGCTGGCAGTCACCCGTCACTGCTCACGGGTAAGCCCCCAGCCCTCCTATAGCTGTGGCCCACAGTGGCTCACTCACCTAGCCCCTTATACATTCAGGCTACTGTCCATTGAGCAGAACCTGGGCTTGATTCTGAGAGGCCAGCAGTCAGTAAAAGAAAAATACACCTCTCTCTCTCTCTCTCTCTCTCTCACACACACACACACACACACACACACACACACATACACACACACAGAGCAATCTCACAGGAAAGGGAGCTATATGATAACTAGATCCTAAACACCCCTAGTAAAAAATCACTCAAGATGCTGTGAAGGAGAAAAACATAAAAGATAACCCCGGAGAGGTACACATTAGGTGGCATGGTCTAGGAAGGTCTCCTCGAGGAGGTGACATTTAAACCGAGGAGAAGAGAGAAGGTGAACAGGTGATGAGGGGGTGGAAGTGAGTCCCTTAGACTCCCTCTAAGCCCCCACCCAGCCTTATCCCCCTTGTCATCTTTTATTCCTGGGACAGTCAGTAGATCCAGCCCTATGCAAAGTCCCCTTTTTCTTTTTTTTTTTTAACAAAAGAAAAACAAAGTCCCCTTCCGTTACCCAAGTAACTAAGTTACTTACTTACCCATGTAAGCCATCTTACACCATTATTCTGTTCTCTTCTACTTGAAACAGAACCCAAGGACCCTAGGGCAGGGTGGGTGTCAGCTTTTGAGGAGTCCCTAAAGCCTGAATGTTGGGGAGGCTGTGTGGTGCAGCTCGCCCCCTCTAAGAGAACTGGAAGATTCTGTCCTATCCCTTGTCTCAGGAATCCCTGGAGTTCTGTGGGTTCTGCACAGCTTGTGCAGGCTGAGGGGTTTCAGAGAGTCATGTGCAGATTCCTCCAACCCACCTTGCTCAGAGTGATGTTGTATATCAGTGTAATATCTGCATTGGCATGTCCGGGGGCTACCTGGTTTATGTCAACACGACTGCATGATTTTATCTATGTATGGGCTTGTATGTATCTGGCTAGTGCATGTGTGTGTCCAGGTATTGTCACCTGGACCCTAAGATGTGGTCATTCATGTATCCCTTTACTAAGGCCTGGTTCACAGTAGAGCTGCAGATGGGGGTGCATGTTGGGAGGCAGCTACTGGACTCAGAATTAAACTCAGTAGGTGTCACACAGCTCTGAGTGCTAAGTACAGCTGTTATTCACCAACCTCCAGGGATCTTGTACCTCTGGGATATGGCCACTAGGTGGGGTTCTGTGTCTGTTTCTTTGGCCAATGCCTTTCCCCCTCATTCCTCCACTCTGCAGCCCTCAAGTCAGGACATGTACTCACTTTGTCCCCATATCACCTGCAGGCTCTACATACTGCCTGACCCAGTCCCCTCCACCACCCTCTGGGATGAATCCAGCCCTCAGGGATCGATAAAGTTCCTCTGATGCCTGGGCTATAAAGCCCTGAACCTCAGGCCTCCCTTTTCTCTCCCCTCTGAGCCATTGCTACACAGCCATGAGACCAAAATACCTCTGTGCTCACTCCATGGTGCCCAAGCCACCTCTTGACCACTTATATTTGGCAGAATAGAATATAAGTTGCTTATATTACATTTAAGGCCCTCTCTGAGGTCACCTCTCAACACCTTTCCCATTGTCTTCCATGGCCACCACTTTGGCCTGAACAGGTTACGAACTAAGCAACTTCAGGGAGGACAAGTCACAGCGCTCACCACTGTGCAGCCCTACGTGGAGGCTCCTTGTGGACCCCATAGCCACACTAAACCTGTTTACTCATTGTTCCTCTTCGCCTTTGGAGCACTTGCCTCCCTGATCTTTTCTTTCAGAGTCTGAGTAAAGGCCACCATCTCCAGGAAGCCCACTCAGAACCTCCACTTCTGAAACCACCGTTGCCCTACTGCCAGGGATTTATGGTTCATTTGCCCTTTGTTCCCACTAGACTGAGTTTCCGAGGATTGGGGACAGGGGTCTTCATTATTTTGTCTCCACTGCCCAGTACAGGGCCTGGATGCTGCATGATTTGTGGACTTGATGTATGTACACACATGTGGCTGTTTCCTGGGTCATTTGCATGTCTTTCTTCAGACAACAAGGAGTGTATTGTGGTTTGTGTATGTATGAATCCCTGTGACTGCGTGAGGTTTAGGGCCACACACGAAGTTTTTATTTATTTCCAGCTATTTATGAATGGAAATGACTCACTCTGACCACCAGAGGATGCGCTCTCTCTGTCTATGCCCATAAAAGAGGTTCTCTGTGTGCATGTCCCTGAATCTGTCTCCCTTTCGCCACCAGGGGGCAGTGTTCTGCCCAAGTAGGGTGGCTCCCAGTGTTCAGTTCTCCAGTCTGTGGGGTGTGGCATCCGCGTTGGTGGCATCCAGGCAGTGCCAGGCAGAAGGGTACTGACTGGAGAAGCTTTTTGAGGAGCCACCCCTTCCCCAAGGTCCCCATTCCAGCTCCAAACAAAGGGTCAGGCCCACAGCTTAGTGTTGGGCTCAAATTCCTTCCTTCTGTCAGGAGGTGGGGGTGGGGAGGAGAGTGGGCTCCCTGCTCATCCTTTAATGCCACCAGAGCAGAGAAGAGCCAGACATCTCCGGTTGCAGTCCTTCCTCACATTTCCTTATCTGTGTTGCTTTGAGCAAACTCCCCTCTGAGCCTCAGTTTACTCATTCATAAAATAGAAATAGTTAATGTCATCTCTCAGGGTGGTTAAGTGAGAAGCCATATGTAAAAGGCTTAGAAAAGTGTCTGTCCCAAAGCTATTATTGTTCCTGCCATTTATTATGGATCTGTTACTACTTCAGGCTTCCACAAGGTCACCAAGATAAGACCATCCTCTAGACCCTGGGGTGGAGTGAACATTTCCCAAAACATGGAGGGTCGAATGGGTCCCAAGGCCCCTGTGTGCTCTGGTTTCCCCTGGCCCACCTGTGAAGTCCCTGCTTTGTCTGACCTGTGGTGCCTCTATCTGCAGTATGTGCATGAGGGTGGCGTGGAGGACCTGGTGAGGCCCCTGCTGGCTATTCTGGACAAGCCTGAGAAGCTCCTGCTTCTGCGGGACATCAGGTGGGGAGGGGCTTGAGGAGTGGGGGCAGGAGGGGATCCCTGATACCTCAACATCCCCAGGGAGGAAGCTCCTCCAGTTACCCCAACAACTGAACTCTGCTCACCCACATCTCTTGCTTCTTCTAGGAGTGTGGTGGCCCCCACGGACCTGGGCCGCTTTGACAGTATGGTGATGCCCGTGGAGCTAGAGGCTTTTGAGGCCCTCAAGAGCAGGGCAGGTCAGCAGCTGGGGGCCAGGACTACAGGATCCTGAGCCCGGGTGGGGGTGGGGCCAGCAGAAGTTGCTAACCTGCCTTACTTCTGACTTGTTCTCTCCAACCAGTACGGCCTCCTGCTTTGAGACCAGCCCGGCAGGACACGCCACCCAAACGTCACCTCATCACCCCTGTGCCTGGTCAGTTGGAATCTCAAAACCCAAGGAGGGGGGCACAACCCGGGTAACGTTAGGAAAAAAGAAGGGGCCTTCCATCCCTGCCCCCAAATGGGGTCCTCATGGCTTCAGAGGCCCATTGAAGGAAAGCCCTTCTCCATTTTCATCCCATCCACTTTCCACCTGCACTGTTACTCACTTCACAGCTGCTTTTAAACCTGCTGGCTTTTTAAATCCAGTCTCATTCTATGTGATAATATTTGAGAAATTATCAGTTCAAGCTGTTCAGGGTGGCACACACCTGTATCCCATAACTTGAGAGGCTGAGGCAGGAGGATTGCAAGTTCAAAGTCAGCTTCAGCAACTTAGCGAGGCCCTAAGCAAGTCAGCAAGGCCCTAAGCAACTCAGCAAGACTCTCAAAATATAAAATAAAAAGGTCTGGGGGGATGTTGCCTAGTGGTTAAGCACCCCTGAGTTCAATCACCAGTACCAAAAAAAAAAAAAAAAGGAAAGAGAAAGAAAGAAATATATTATAATAGAATGTATTAAAATGTGACTATAATAGATCATATTTGTCTGTCCCAGTGGGCAGTGGGCCTGAGCAAATGCAGGTCTGGTTCTCATAGGCCACACACAAAGGCAAGACCTGGTGGCTGGAAAGGTGGTCTGAGGTGGGAGGCCAGGAGGCAACAGCCTGACCTTGGCCTCTTCCCCAGATAGCCGTGGAGGTTTCTACCTGCTGCCTATGAACGGTTTCTCTGAAGAAGAGGATGGGGAGCTGAGGGAGCAGCTGGGGGGCCTCAAGGTCTCCCTGAGTGCCTCGGCTCCCCACCACCCTCATCAAGGAATCCCCCCTCTCCAAGATGTGCCAGTAGACGCCTTCACATCATGCAGAAGCACATGTACACCCTCTCTCCCACCACCCCCTGTCGCTCCCCGGCCACCGCGGCCTAACTGGCTGCTGACAGAACCCCCGAGACGAGAAGATCCTCAGCAGAGCCAGAGCCAGAGCCAGGGCCCAGCCCAGGGTCGAAGCAGAAGCCACAGCAGGGGTCGAGGCAAGTCCCCTGGGCGCAGGCGCTCCCCTTCCCCAGCGCCCATCCCCACCTCCAATGCAGCCAATGGGCGCTACCACAGGCCTCGGAAGGCCAGGCCCCCTCTGCCACGACCCCTGGATGGGCAGGTGGCTAAGGTGGGGGCCAGGCAAGGTCCTTCAGAGAATGGATCCGGCAGGGGAGCTGAGGAGGCAGCCATGAAGGCCCCCAGTGGGGAGCTGAGGACAATCACACTGTCTAAAATGAAGCAGTCCTTGGGTGAGTGCAGGGTGGACTGCACTGGTGGGGTAGACTCCTGGGTTTGGGTAGTTGGTGAACTTGAATTTCAAGATCTGCCTGGGCATAGGAAAAGAACCTGGGGTAAAGGGAAATCTAGATTTGGGAGACTTGGAATTTGAAGGATTTGGGAGTTGAGACTTGAGCAATAACAGTACCTGGGGTTTGGGAGAAGTTGGGGGCCCTGGATTTGGGGATGAGGTCCTAGGTTCCTCCTGGGATTTGGGGGTATGGCTATATTCTCACCAGAGCCTTGGACCCTCTCTAGGCATCAGCATTTCAGGGGGCATCGAGTCCAGGGTGCAGCCCATGGTGAAGATAGAGAAGATCTTCCCAGGGGGTGCGGCCTTTCTCAGTGGGGCCCTGCAGGTAGGTGAAGCCCACTCCCTAGGCCCAGAGCTGAAGTCTGGCAAGGTGTGGGGCTGCTTCATCCAGACATGTTCAGACCAGGTTGTGGGAAGAAGCTTGGGAGCACCGGGGTCAAGAGAACAGGCCTAAGGGGAAAATCTGTCCCCTGATGCTAGCCTAGGCCTGAGGGACGGCCCATCCTGTTCCACCCTGGGCCTCAAGGGACAAAAGGCCATTGTCTATGCCCCACCCTGCCCCCAACAGCTCCAGGCACAAAAGTCCCATTGTCCATCTCCTGAACCCAGTTGGGGGAGGAGTACCCTAGCCAGTGGAGGTGAGAGGACACTGCCTTCAGGTTAGGTGGTAGGGTGGGAGTGACCCAGGGAGTGCTGTGACTCTCCCATCCTGATCCCAGGCTGGTTTCGAGCTTGTGGCAGTGGATGGAGAGAGCCTGGAGCAGGTGACCCACCAGCGAGCAGTGGACACCATCCGCAGGGCTTATAGAAACAAGGCTCGGGAACCCATGGAGCTTGTGGTCAGGGTCCCTGGGCCTGGTCAGCTCCCCTTACCCCCTGACCTGTCAGTTCTTACTAGTCAGCACCCTCCTCCTGATCCTCCCTCTGCCCACCCACCTGCTGATGCTACTCCAGTTCCCTCCCACTGGCTCCCAAAATCTTCCATGAGTGCCAGGACCCATTCTACAGAGGAGGCCAGACTTCTCCAGAGGACTCCTAGCCCAGTACCTTCCCCAACCCTCCAGACTCCTGAGACTAACCCCTGACCCCTCCCCCCCAGATTCCCAAGGATTCTTTCCACTGGCCTCAGATCCACCCGCCCTCCCACCACTGAATCCAAGTCTTCCTTTTATCTCTGGGACCTCTCTTGTGAAGCTCCTGGGGACTCAGGAACATCTTGGTCCTGCTTGCCCTGTCTCCTAGAGCTCCACACTGCTAGCTCTGCTCCCCTCCCAGCTGTCAATTACACTCTGCCCTTTCCAGATAAACCTGCTGTCCACCATGGACAAGGTGCTAACAGGCAGCCTGTCACCTGCACTCACTGCCCCTCCAAACTCCTAAGACAAGGAGAGGAGTAAAAAACTCAAGGTCTGGAGCCTAGGATTGGTGGGCATCTTCTCATGTCCCCTCTCCCCCACCCCCAATTCCCTAAAGAATCAAGGGACAAAAACTGATGAGTCCTCAAGGGGTCAATGCATCCACCCCCCAGTTCCAAGTAGCATTCAGTGCAAGGGACAAGATAGAAAGCTTTTCCAATTCCTAACAGAGACACTTTCATGCTGTGGTACACTAGGACCTCACTTTCTGAACTTGTCCTTCCCCCATGGCCCTTCCTCTCCTTAGTTAGAGCTATGAGAGGTGTGGGAGTTGCCAGCAAACAATGAAGGGATGGAAGTCAAACAAGTTCCTCCAGCACTGGTTTATCCAGCATATTCATGTTTTTTAAAAACCAAAAAAAAATTTTTTAAATTTTTTCTTTGGGTTTGTACAAGAAATTTACAGTGTGAAAAATATACAAGTGAAAACAAGGCCATAAACCTGGGTGTTGGGAAGGGCTGCTTGGTCACAAACACAAATAAACAAGACATTTCTGAGTTCTTCCTTTGGTCTGACTTCAGCCCCCTCAGCCCAGGAGGGAGGCTGCAGAGCTGGGACATGGGGATCAGACCCCAGTTCCAGCCCTGTCCCCCAACATGGCCAAGGTGGGGGCAGGCACATCTGGAGCAGCTGGTGCCATCTGGCTCTCTCTGGCTTTGGGGTGGGGAGAATGTGGAGATGAGGAAGCCCCTCCTCTTCCCAGCTCCAATGGCTGGAAAGGGCTGTCAAGCATCTGGGACAAACAGAACTGGTGGGGTGGCACTGGCAGCAGCTGGGGAGTGAGATGGGCAGAATAGTAGGAGCCTCTGGATAAAGTGAACATGGGGGACGTTCAAGGGGTCTGATCTTGCTCCTCCAAGTCAGGGACACCCAAGTTCTTAGCAGAGGCCTAGAGGCCTGTACCCTGGAAGACAAGCGGCTCTGAGACCCTAAGACTTGGGGATGCTCACTGGGTCCTGGGGTCTGAGTGGACCTGTGGCTCCTGGCCCCTTCAGTGAAGCTCACTGTGGAGCTGGAGTCCTAGATTTCGGTGGCAGTGATCTCCTCCAGGCAGATGCAAGGTGCTGGCTCAGCCAGGCCCAGGTCAGCGAGCTCCCGGGCCTCCAGCTCCAGGCTGAGCTGCTGCAGCTCCTGCTCCAGCTGCCGGTTGCGCCGGTACATCTGGATGTAGTTGTGTTGCAGCTGCTTCTGGTAGCGGATCACCTGCTCCTTCTCGGCCTGCCAGGCCAGTCGCTCCCCCTCAAAGCTGTCCCTCTGCTCTTCGCCTCGCCGTCGTTCTCGCTGTAGCTCCACCCGCAGCCGCTCCACTTGGGCCCGCAGGCTGCCTCCTGCCCCAGCTGCTGCCCGCTGCACCTTGGCCTCGTCACTCTCTGCCAGGAGGAATGGATCAGTCGTGGCAGGTGGTACAGGGGGCTCCCGGAGTCCAGCTGCCTCAGCGTCCAACTGTCCGGCCTTCTCTCGGAGCCGCTCAGCCTCTTGGCGGTGGCGCTGTAGCTCCTGGGAGCAGGTCTCCAGCTCCAACTCCCGGGCTCGGGCTGCCTCCTGCAGGCCCCGGGCTCGGCCCTCACTGACCCGCAGAGCAGCCCGGGCCTCCCGCAGTGCCACCCGCAGTGCCACCAGCTCGCTGCCCTTCTGTACCAA